ATGTGACCATATATTTCCTTTTAGTCATGTTGCATTCAAATGTCAAAATTTGCTCCATGATACAGCCACATACACATTTGTTTCATGTGACCATATAATAATATATTATCTCTTAAAAAAACCATCACAAAGTTTTTCCATATATCTGAAAAACATGTGGCGGATGGTGACATTTGGCCTCATTTTTCCGGTGTGGCTAATAATTGTCACATTTGTTATGTTTAAACGTGTCTAAATGTTTCAACTATATTACTATTGGTCATGAAATACAACTTAAAATGTCACTACAACAATGACAGAATTTTAGCAATAACCTTTAGACACAGTTGTAGTCAAAAGTGTGGCTGGGCAGTTTTGGCAAAAGTGTGACCATAGGTCATTTTTGTACTAGTGTGCAAAGTCAGATTCAGACGTTCTCTATATTTTTGGAATCGTATGGACGTATAATTTGAGTTGTATCATAAAGAAAGTTGATATTTGTATTAGAATTTATCATGAATTACTTAACATTCTTACCACATTACTACGTTAACATAATCACATTACATGATTGGCATAATCACATGTGATTGTCTATTGACCTATTTTGACTAGTGTTACATTATATAAAGTGGAGGCGAGTGTCATTTATTTATGAGTGCACCCATGTAGACTTTTGTAGTGAGAGAGGGTTGGGGAATTCTTCCCATTTATGAGAGTTGTTCTTGTAACAGGTTTAATCTTTCCATCTATACAATTCATTTTACTCACATGCTTTTTTTCATCATATTTATACACAATTATCTTGTTGATATTATCTTTCTACACCAATCTAATCGATAAATGGGAACCTGCACATTGAGTAAGAAGAATGTGTTGAATTTGTTGATCTTTACTTGATTTCGATGAAGGGAATGTTGAAGATCATGCTATTATGTTGGTAAAGGAGTACAAGATTCTTAATTCCAAGCTCAATGCAATCATACAGTTTCTCAATGATATTGTTGGCTCTTCTTCATCAATTATCAAAGCAAATTTTGAATCTTTGATAAAGTCTCACGAATCAAAGACGAAGGCTTTAGTCAACACAACTATGACTAATCTTGAGCAGAGGCTTGATCACAACTTAAACAATTACAAGTTTAAAATTACAAAAGTTCTAAATGTTTCTAGAGAATGTCATGAGTTGATAATGAAGGTTGTACAATCTTTTAAGGAATCTGTTGAACTCAAAGTCAAGGAACTTCATGAATTTGTTGCTAAAGAAGTGAGGAAGATAGATGGTTTTGTGTAGGAATACAGAAGAATATTAATGTTATTCTAATATATTTGAGCGTTTAATATCAAATACAAGGAGGACTTGAGTAAGAGGAATGAATCGGATGGGAATGTGCTCAAGGGGATTGAAACTACATTAAATAAGTTTCGAGAAGAGATATTGAGTGTTTTTGTGTCTTACAAATTAGATTTTTGTTGAGAAGCTAAATTCTACTATATCTTCGATTGAAAAATATTTTAAAGCCCAACTATCTCCAATCCTGAATTTAGTACTTTGATTGCCAACGAATGCTTCATGACAAGTACTCGTTTCACAATGGGAGATAGTGGTGGTGCATCGAAAATAGGAGAAGACGAGAAAAAAAATGTTGTTGGGAATATTTTTACTTGTCAAATTCCTACTCCAGTTCATGTTAATCATGTTCAGACACCAATAGCAATCCCCGACAGTGATTGCTGATCTATCGAAGTTGCAGTCAAAGAAGGGTGTCAATATCAATGAAGTAGGTTATGGTTCTTTGGTAGTAAAACCAGTTACTCAAGCTGACTTCAAGAATAAAGGAAAAGGTGTTTATGTTAATCCTTCAGAAGATGAGGAAAAAAATTGTAAGACATAGAGATTGAGAATCTCAAGCAACTTAATAGCATCATGAGGCAAAGAGCAAATGATCATCTAGTCTTGAAGGTGATAACAATAAGACATGGTGTTATGAAAAAATCGAAAATGTTGTTTATGGAGATGTTGATGCTTTTAAGAAACAACCAAAGCAAAGATATTTGATTGAAAACTCAGATTTCAATCATCTTGCCTTTCTGTTTAATAGTGTGCCTCTAACAACTAATCAAAATTATGAAAAAATAAATTCAATAATAAATCATAAAAGGGTATAACATTAATCTTAATTATGATAAATATGGTAAATAATTGAAATCATTAATAACCTTTAAATATCGAAATTCTGTTGATGAAGTCTACAAAATCACTGAGAGATCTCTTTATTATAACCTATCATAGTCAAGTTAAACGTCAATTCCTAGTATTCGGCATCCACCCCTTCTAAACCTAGCCCACCGTAATTCTTCCCTCGTTGACTAATGTCCAAACCCACTACAATCGATTGTGGCTTATTTCCAGAACCATGAAAACAAGGTTAGAAGCACACGACCATGTATGGCCTTCGAGGAGTTGCTCTACCTTCATCTCAGATTCAATGTCTTTCTATTTCGAACAAAATATGGTTTACAAATCGGAATTCCGATTCATCATTGCTTAATCCAGGTCAACTTTGTTTCCTCCATTTTTGTTTTGGTTGAGTAATTTTGAGATTTCAAGAATTAAATCCTAAATCAATGTGAGCATCTGATCTTGAAACTTTAGGAGACCCAATTCCCTATGTCTCTATTTCATTTGAGTTGTCAACTTTTGCGATAAGTCCAACAAGTAAGAGGTTGATGTCATACTCTCAATTGACAATTCTAGTGTTTTTGGCCTATGCTAATATATGTGTGTTTAATTTATCATATAATAACATCAAGTTCCCTTATCACTGGGGTTGATGATGTTTAGATTATGACCTAGAAGAGTATGGACGAATCGGGCAGACCTCCTGATATTGTTCTCAGATTTTAGCTTTATGAAACTGTCATGCTTCTTTTCTACTTCACATGTTAATCTGGTTTGGTGTTGGTCTAATGAGGTCTTTATTTTCTCTATTTTGACTTTGCTTATGATTAGTTATTTCATAAACATGATGAGTTAATTTGATTTCTTTGAAGTAATTTCATACTCTTGATAATACAAATTCTTTTAGAATATTCCAAACCATTTTTGGAAAATATTTACAATATCACTCTTGCAGAATAAATATCTTTTCTAGGATTACATTCTATTAAAATAAATTATAATTCTTTAACGAGTACTACATTCTGTCAGAATTTATATTTTTATTCTCTTAGAATGGAAAAAAATTATTATTTCAAAGTAGATTATGTTGTCATTGTGGATTCTATGTATTATGTCAGAATATAAAAAGTGATAGGAATTACAAGTAATATGCTTTTAACCATTCTTAGTTTTTGTTGTATTTGTGATAGGAATGACTGGAAGAATAGGTTGAACACCTAATACGAATAACTTAAAGAATGAATAAAAGATTGATCACACTCATAGTTTAAGAATATTGTAATTTTTTTAAGAATGTTATTCATTTTTGTTGATATCCTTTTAGAATATCAATAACTATATTAAAATGTATAAGACTATTAGTCTGTACGAATATGTAAGAATGTTATCTTCAATTTAATAATATTTATTAATCACTTACTTAAAATAATTAAAATGATTGGTCTACAATCAACCATACATGCACGCAATACTTATAAAAAACACAATAACCTAACCCTTATATATATATATATATATATATATATATATATATATATATATATATATTAGGTGTACAACCGCGCAAAGCGGCAACAACAATTATTACTGTTTCGATGAATGGTTTTTTCATTAAAAAAGAATGTTATTTGTCTATTTTAATGGCAACAAATTTGCTGCGTGATATGTTATAAAAATTCCATGCCTAACCTTTTCACGAACATCATACCCACTTAAAAAAGGAAAAAAAAATTAATTTTTGTTTCATTTTTTAAATATTTTCGTTGATTATTTTTTACCATAATTAGTTTTTGTTCATAAAAAGATAAGTGGTTTGTGCACAACATATTTGTACATTAAGTTATCAAGCATATAACTCTTAAATTTCAAGAAAAATTAAATATGCTTTATAATACAGTTAAGGTATATATATATATATATATATATATATATATATATATATATATATATATATATATATATATATATATATATATATATATATATACATGTAGTTGTAGCATGAATCAAAAACTCATAGGTTTTCAGTTTGGACCTTGAGTTTGCGGTTTATATATATATATATATATATATATATATATATATATATATTATATATATATATATGTGTGTGTGTGTGTGTGTTTAGGTTCATTTGAGATCATTCTAATTTTGTGAGACCGTGAGACAAAATCTAAAAATAATTTTAAAATGCAAAATAAATGGAAAAATCTAAAAATTCTTTTTTTAAATACTATTTTCGGAACATGAATTAACTAAAAGAAATAAAAATAAAATCCTGTTTTTTTTAAATACGTAA